GGCAGTGCTGCTGGAAGCCGTGGTCCCCCGGGCACATACCTGCCGCTCAGCATCCCTCCGTGCCCTGCGCCATTCCCCTCTTCCACAGCTTCCCTTCTTCTTTCAGATATGAAACCCAAAGTGGAGCCGGCAGCCTCCACCTGGGCCGGTGCGGCTGACCCCTGGGTGCCGGTCCCAGCCGCTGGCGGGGAGCCCCTCTCCCAGGCAAGCGCTTCGTCCCAGCAAACCTCCGCCGGGCCCTGGGATTTCCCCCCCAGCACCACTGCAGCCTCCGACCCTTGGGGGAAGGCACCCTTGTCTTCTGGCTTCCCTCCTGCGGACCCCTGGGTGACGGCATCCCCCCCCACCCAGGTCCCTGGTTCTACGCCAGCTGCCGACCCTTGGGCCGCTGTGGCCGAGCAACCTCCTAACCCTGGTAAGAGGCTCGATCGGCGTTTTGGCTTTGCTGGGGACTGTGGGCAGCATTGGCCATCGCTGCCCTCCTGCAAGTGGGCATCCCGGGGTGCTCCCCCCTTCCTCCCGCAGCCAGCTCTGCAAACACCCCCTCCCTGCTCTCCTGCCCTGCAGCGGGACCTCTGCTTGCCCCTCGGCATCCTGAAGGCTTCAGAGAACTTTTAGGCTTTATCCCTGCACAGAATAGGCTGCTTTAATTAACATGGCACAGTTAACGGAGCCCTCCCATGGGAGCGGATAGCAGCTGCCGCACCGCTCCAGCAGCGGGGTGACAGTGTGTCCCCCACCGGTGATACCTGTTTGTTTGCTCACCCCAAACCAGCCCTACGCGCCCTACCGGGACGGGACGGTTGCTGCTCGCAGGTGCCGCGTTGCAGATGAGGAAGCAGTTGTAGGAGCCGCCTGTGTTTCAGAGCTCAATGCCACTCTCGGTTCCGCCTCGGTGCTTCCTCCGGCCCCGTGGAGGCCCTGCATGTATTGCCCTCAGTTTTAAGTCCCCGGGGAGGAGAGCAGAATCCGGCCTGGGGGCCAGTGCTGGTTGTTACAGCATTCCTGCAGACCTGTCCCCTCCGCCTGTCCCTGCTGGGGCTGGGAAAGGGACCTGCCTGCTGAGGGGGCTACGGCTGCAAGCAGTGTGGGGGCTGCCTTGGTCTGCAGTGA